AAAACAACAGTCTATATATATATATATATATATATATATATATATATATATATATAAAGATGGAGTACTAAAAGTAAATTAGCCTCCCCATTCGACTCTATAAGAAGAAACTCTTCATACCTGCTTTGCTATATAGACGATTACAATTGTCATCTCTATTTTAGAATTATTAGGGCGATAACATGCAATTATATCTTACTAAAAGATCTCGGCCAACTATAATAAAGATTGTCAACAAGAAATCAGCTAATGTGAATGTTTCTAAACATATGATTTCACGATACACAACTGATGACTGATGAACAAATAAGAGCAGCAATAAATGTTTACACAGCTAATGTGAAAGTTTCTAAGCACAAGGTTTCATGAATAGGTCTGAAGCAATATGGAAGAGCAAACAAGAAAACACGTGGGGAGAAATTTACACCCTTCAGTCGATCTGAGATTTTTTATTTCCAAATAGCAGATGTGGAGGGGACGTGGGGGCTTGTAATGAATGTTCTTCGAGAGCAAAACGATTGAATTCTGCTTTTTTTAAGGAAGACTTCAATTTGTTTAGCTGATTGCTGAGACTGGTTTGCAGTGCTTGAGGGGAGAGAAGATCTGGACTGTCAAAAACTTTGACAGCAAATTTTGCTGCATGGTCAATCTGTTAGAAAGTAGAAACAAGAAAGGAGTAATAAGTGGAGGCAAGTTACAATAGTTTAGTTACTTGATAGCACCAATTAAGGGGGGGGGGGGGGGAAACCTTCAACATATGGCAACAATGGACATAATTCATCAGGGATAAGTCAAAAATAAATATATCAATGATCAATTAGAGGTGTGAGACAAAATGAAGACCAAGCACCCATGCAGTCATATGGTAGCCAAAACAGATTGAAAGTCCTTTAGCTGTGTACAGGAAATTTACCAACCAGTAAGCCCAGGTCTTCTCTAGGAATGTAATCCATGGGAACTTCAGATAAAGCATGTCAATGCATAATGATCAGAAAGCATCTCAACTTTAGTTTCATGTTCTTTTGCACAACAAAGTAACTGGAAGGCGCAAAGGGCACAATTAGCAATGCATGACAGAAGTGTTAAAATCCCAGAGGAAGCATCAGTGTTCCACTCACTAATTTGGCAATTAGCAAACTAAATAATTAATTATCTAGTGAAGGAAGCATGATTAGCACTAACAAGACAGCTTATGTTAAGCCCCAACCAGTTATCACCAGGAAAATCTTTTTTGCTCCACTGTCATAACCTGAAGCTGACGAGGGAGGAAATGAGAAAGGGAGCATGATTATAAGATGTATAGTTTTGCATACCCTTGGTCTCTTTTAATCTCCAAATATGCCTGAGCTCTGGCCTCTACCATAAGGCTGGAGTTCATTTCTTTCACAATCCTAGGCTAGAAACACCTTCTTCTTTTTTTAAATTTACTCTATTACTCTTTTAAATTCAAAGAAAAATTCAGAAGGTAACATAGCAAATAAATTGAAATGGTGAGACTTTTTTTTGAAAGACATATGAGACATTTTTCGAAAGAGACATGTAAAATGTCCTCTTTGTGTTGCAGTTATCCTTGATTTCCCATTTTCGCTAGTTTTGAAGCAGATATAGTAAGGGCAGGTGAACATCTGCCCTCAAGTGTTTCAGGCGAGAATAGTGGGCATCTTACTTGAGCTTTTTTTCTACTGTAGTACAAATTCACTCAGCATCAAGCAGAAGAACCTTGAGCGACAGTATGTCGACTAGATTTTGCCTTCATAAAAAAAAATTAATCTCTAAAAACATCCTTAAAGAAGTTCATTAAACTTAAGAGTACCCAAGCTCATGTTATAATCTACAATACTTATCAACCCGAAAGAAAAATATCTTACTCTGTAATTAGTTAAAATTTACAATACATGTAATCCCACAACTATTTACAGGCATAATCCAATCACCAAAATTATGAGCCAACCAATAGAAACCTCCAAATAATGTATCAACAGTCAATAAATTGAAAAGGATTAAACAAAGAATGAAAAGGAATTTAAATACTCAAAAGATAAATAGAATTAATCACATAGAAACAAACTACAAATGCAAAAGGAGGATTAAAAAGAATAATTCAATGAAGTAAGATTAGCAGAAAGAAAAGGCTAACATGCAGACTGTGAAGCTGTACAAAATGATTTACATGATAAAAATTAAACATACAAGTAATCCCATCAATGGAAAACAACCCATAATTTGTCAGTAGTCAGAGAGAAACAAAATAAAAAAAATCTCAACCCATCCATAATTCAGATACATAAATTCGAAATTCAAAAAGGAGAAGTAAAAAAGCATAAGCAAAAATAATAACAAAAAAACAATAACAAATTCGAAGGAGGATTAAAAAGAAGGAATTAACACAAGGGAAAAGAAAGGAAATTAACTATACCGACTGTGATGCTGTCGTCAAGAAAGCTTTAGCTAGAGGCAATATGCAAAACCTGTTTTTATAGATAAATTCAAATAAAAAGAATTACAAAAAATAACAAAAGCCCATGAGAAGTACAGGTAGTAGGACACTTACATTCCTCTGCCTCCGGATAAAGCTTCCTCTGATGGGTCTTTCCATTCATCGAATCTGCCACACCACACAGCAGAATTCAGTCACAATTATCCTTTATTGTTTTGAATATTTACTCTACGCATATTTAGAGAGAGAGAGAGAGTTACACCCAACCGTAACGGCGATCAAATAAGAGGCGATGTGAATGTCGTTTTGGCAAAGTAGCAATGCGGATTTTGGTGCTTGCTGACTCCATCTCCTCTCCCTCTCTCTCGAGTATGGGATGTATGGCTGCTATGTTTACATCTATGGCAAAAGATGGCAAAGATCGAAGTTTTGTGATCAAGGCTTTTAACCCAAAAGATCATGTAACCGGGCTTTACTATTTCTATAGAAAAACTGTTTAATCTTTAAACTCAAATTAGCCCAACCAAGGATTTTTCACATTTTCCTTTTTTTTTTCCAACACATAAATAAATAAATTGATACAATTTTTGTGGTCATATTCAATAAATCTTGCTCTATTTTTATGGTTACCTGTTTAAAATTCAATTACAAAAATATAGTTTGAATATCTTAAAGTTAAGGTAAGATACCTAACTATTTATACTCAAACTTATTTTGAGCATATAAGAATTTTTCACTTATAAATATTTGTTAAAATCACCCTATATTTTGATTTTATTTTTATTTACCCATTATAATTTGAAAAATTATAATTTATATCATAAACCTTATAACGTGCATTTTATATCTTTTTAAAAAATATCTAATTATTTATAAAATTGCTGTTATTTTTTATTTAATGACTAAAAATTTTTTATATTAAATATTCACCATAATTCAGTTAAGTATCCAACACAATTCAACTACCAACTAACTTCTTAAACGAACCACACTAGTATTTAAATCTTCTTTCTTACTTAGTCAAGATAATATTTACGAACACGGTTGTAATTATGTTTTTTTTATTTGAATTTTTTTCTTTAAATTGATTTTTTATGTTTTTAAATTATTTTACTTTGCTGATAAATAGTTTTTAAAATATAAAAAATATTATTTTGATATATTTTTTAAATAAAAAATAATTCAAACCATAATTATTAATAAACTCTCAAACATCCTCTTCACTCCTCCCTCGCTCCTCAACGTTTAACCACACCTCTACAATATGTGGCAGCTATTGTGCCGTAAATGATTCAAAAATCAGCAACAATGAATCTGATGAAAATGGATGAAGGATGGGTCTGGTTGTGTTGTCTTTCTTTTGGTGTTTAGGCTGGATTATAGTATTTTTAAGGTAAATAAAATGGAGGATAGATTAGAGTGATACTTTGATAAGTCGATCTGGATGCCATAAAGATCAATCTAGGATTTTGACGCCACACTCTTTGTGATTGAAGAGTGATAAGTCAGGTAGGGTTCTTCACAAATCAATCTGGAAGAACAACTCTTAATTCTCTGAATTAAGTTCAAATCTTGGCCAAAAGTTGTTTATTACATATTCTGATGCCATATTTATAATGGAACATCCCTCCACACTTAGGAAAATTCAACATGACAGAAATCAAGCCCAAAACTTGGACTTTGACAAAGTAACCAGACAAATTACACTAGCACACATTTTCTGACTTTAATTGAAACATAAACAGACCGAATTTAAAATGGCTATAACTTCTTGCACAAAAGTCCAATGCAATCATGGTTGGACAATCTGGAAAGATCACGTTCTGAACTTGAAATCCACCTAGATTAGTCTTGTTTTCACATGCAATGGATGACTTCAAATTCGGGTTCAAATTTATCTACTGTTCTGACGTAAACAGCATCAATTTCTTAACTTATTTGCATTATCAACCCAAATTCAAGTAGTCCAGCATCAAAAGAACCATTAAGGGCTCTTCCCATCTTTAAGCTCCAATTGTAGGCAAATAAGCACCCTTGAACCAATTTGAAACTGATTGCCAAATTTTAACTCCGACGCAGCTTCAATCATTCCAATCTGACTCGTCAAGGTCCTTTGTAGTTGTTTCGCTCTCGCTCTTGTCATTGGACCATCTGAATCCTCTTGCATATTTGATTTACCTTTACGAGATGGATTATCATTCCCATGATGCACATCATCAGCCCCGGGTTGATAATGATTTGTCCTCAAATCATAATCGTCGTCATCATCCAAGTATGGAGTCAAGTCTTTCACATTAAAAGTAGCTGATACATTGTAATCACCAGGAAGATCTACCTTATACGCATTATCATTCACCTTCTCTATAATCCGAAATGGACCATCAGCTCTTGGCATCAACTTGGACTTGCGTTTGCTTGGAAATCTGCCCTTACTAAGATGAATCCAAACAAGATCACCAGGTTCAAACCTAACCATTTTCCGCCCCTTGTTAGCTTGTTTAGCATACTTTGTTGTTTTCTCCTCAATATGTAATCGAACCTGCTCATGTAGTTTCTTCATCAATTCTGCCTTTCTAATTCCATCCATAGATGTCCTCTCATCAATTGGAATATGAACAAGATCAATAGGAACACAAGGATTAAAGCCATACACGACCTCAAATGGTGAAAATTTTGTAGCCCCATGCACACTACGATTATATGCAAACTCCACAATAGGCAAACAAGTATCCCAACTCTTCAAATTCTTATGTATAACAGCTCGTAACAAAGAAGATAAAGTTCGGTTTACTACCTCAGTTTGTCCATCAGTTTGTGGATGACATGCCGTACTGAAAAGTAACTTCGTTCCTAGCTTCCTCCAAAGAGTCTTCCAAAAGTAGCTTAAGAACTTTGTATCACGATCAGAGACAATGCTTTTAGGAACTCCATGCAAACGAACAATCTCTTGAAAGAACAAATCAGCTACATGTACAGCATCGTCAGTTTTGTTGCAAGGAATGAAATGGGACATTTTGGAGAATCGATCAACCACAACCATTATTGAATCCTTTCCACGCTGTGTTCTCGGTAACCCCAGTACAAAGTCCATGCTAACATCCATCCACGGTTGCTCTGGAATAGGCAACGGCATATACAGCCCATATGCATTCTCTTTACCCTTAGCTTTCTTGCAAATAGCACATCTCTCAATCACCTTGTGCACATCCCGTAACATGCTAGGCCAAAAGAAATGTTCTTTCAGCAACTCATAAGTCTTCTTCTCCCCAAAATGACCACTAAGACCACCACCATGAGCCTCTCGCACAAGCAACTCCCGTAATGAACCTGAAGGAATACACATTCTGCCCATTTTGAACAAGTAACCTTCATGCATAAAGAACCCATCACAAGCTCCCTTTGCACATTCGGTAACCACATTAGCAAAGTAGGAATCATTAGCGTATTGATCCTTCACTTGTTCAAAACCCATCAGCCTTGCATTCAACATAGAGATCAGTGCATACCTCCTAGAAAGAGCATCAGCAACCACATTAACTTGCCCTTTCTTGTACTTTATGACATAAGGAAATGACTCCATAAACTCCACCCATTTAGCATGTCTTCGATTCAGCTTGCTTTGCCCCTTAAGATACTTCAAGGATTCATGATCAGTATGAATAACGAATTCTTTTGGCAACAAGTAGTGCTGCCATACCTCCAGAGCTCGAATCAAAGCATAGAACTCCTTGTCATAAATAGAGTAGTTCAAACGTGCTCCATTTAACTTTTCACTGAAGAATGCAATCGGCCTCTTTTCTTGCATCAAAACAGCCCCAATTCCAACTCCGGAAGCATCACACTCTATTTCAAATGTTTTAGCAAAGTCTGGAAGTGCTAAAACTGGAGCAGTACACAACTTTTCTTTAATTAGCTCAAAAGCTTTCTGAGCATCTGCACTCCATCTAAACTCGTTTCCTTTTTTCAAGCATTCTGTCATAGGAGCAACAATAGAGCTGAAATCTTTCACAAATCGCCTGTAGAAAGAAGCTAAACCATGAAAACTCCTCACATCAGCGATACTAGCAGGTTTTGGCCAGTCCCGAATTGCCTCAATTTTCTCCTCATCAACCTTAACTCCCTTGCTAGAGATAATATATCCAAGAAACACGACACTTTCTTTACAGAAGTAACACTTTGTGAGTTTCCCATACAACTTAGAATCTCGCAAAGTTTCAAACACAACTCTAAGATGCTTCACATGATCATCAAAGGTCTTGCTATACACTAGGATATCGTCAAAATATACTACAACAAACAGCCCAATATACTTCCTCAAAACATGATTCATAAGCCTCATAAATGTACTAGGCGCATTAGATAACCCAAACGGCATTACCATCCATTCATATAACCCCTGTTTAGTTTTAAATGCTGTTTTCCATTCATCTCCCTCTTTCATTCTAATTTGGTGATAACCACTCATCAAATCGACTTTAGAAAACAATGCAGCACCATGCAACTCATCAAGCAAATCATCAAGTCTGGGTATAGGAAATCGATACTTAACTGTTATTTTGTTGATAGCACGGCTGTCCATACACATCCTCATGGTACCATCTTTCTTTGGTACAAGCAAAGTAGGTACGGAACATGGACTAAGTGATTCTCGAACATAGCCCTTCTCTACAAGCTCACCAACCTGCCTTTGAATCTCTTTTGCTTCCGCTGGATTACATCTGTATGCTGGTCTATTAGGAAGTGAAGCTCCCGGCACCAAATCAATTTGATGCTCAATTCCACGAATAGGCGGTAACCCTTTAGGTAATTCATCTGGAAACACATCTTTAAATTCTTCTAGCAATTCCTTAATCTGTGTTGGTAAGTCCAGTCCTTCTACTTGTAGCAATTGCTTTGCCCAGATCATGAAAACAACCCCCGTCGAAGCTAATGCCTGTTTGATATCGCCTTTTTTGGCTAACAACAGCCCCTTACGTGATTGCACCTCCTTTTGTTGGCTTCGTAACTGATCCTCTCTAACCTGTTGAGAACTCAATGGTAACAAGTTCACCTTCTTTCCATTCAGCATGAAAGAATAAGTGTTCTTTCGTCCATTGTAGGTCACATCCTTATCAAACTGCCATGGACGACCCAGTAACAAATGGCTAGCTGACATCGGCGCAACGTCACACAAAACCTCGTCATGATAGGTTTTAATGGAAAAGGGCACAAGAACTTGCTTTGTCACCCGAATCTCCCCATTCTCATTCAGCCATCGCAAACTATACGGTCTGGGATGTGGAATGGTAGTTAAGCCCAATTTCTCCACCAAGGTAGTTGACGCAACATTAGTGCAACTTCCATTATCAATGATCATCCCACACACCTTATCTCGAATCTGACATCGAGTATGAAAGATGTTCTCACGTTGCTCAGCACTAACATCAACTTGTGCATTTAGAACCCGTTGCACAACCATGGATTATCATTTCCATAATGCACATCAGCAGCTAAAGAAGATTCAACCACTACAGCAACACCATGTCAAGCCTGATCCAGCATGAATTATCCCACCACCTACCCCGTTCTGAACCAGCACAGCATCAAACACCCCCAGACTCACCACCAAAACAATGCGAGCCAATAGCCCACCAGCAACCATAATAGCCTATAATGCCATCCTTTATTATACATGAATTCTGAATTCATTTGCCTTTCATGTCGAATCCATATTAAAGTCAAGTTTTTATGTCAAGATGCGTGAATGCAAAGTTGTGTGCATGTTTGCTTCTTGAATTATTTTTCATGCTTGAGTAAAATTTGTGCTTTTCAACGTCAATTGTGTTGCTTGTTTATTTATTCATCTTGAATTCATATTAAATTTTAGTTTTTGTACCAAGATAAATTTATTTCCAAAATTTATAAGAATTGCGTAAATTGATTGGGACATCGGGTGCGCCACCCAAGTTACGGTTGGATAATCCTTAAAAGCTGTGTTAAGAATTATGGTTTGCTCGGCTGAAAGTCCACCATTTTTTACCACGAGGGAGCTTGTAAAGCTGAGTTCGTAAATGTATTTATGGTAGCATTATGCAGAAAATATCACAGGACTTGAAACAATTCAATACGCCACCACTTCTGTCATTGTCTAGTTTCCAATTGCAGATGTGAAGTGACCATTGGGAGTTTCTCGTGGAGACTTCCCTCAAGCCAAAACGGGAGAGAAGATGTGATCTTTCAGACCTCGGACAGCCACAAAGCTTGCTACACGGTGATCACGCATCCAACTACGCCAAGTGCAAGCCCTTCTTCTTTTTTTCCGGCACCCCCTTTCAGATCTTGAATTGAGTTCTCTGCAAATTTTGTTACTCCTCCATTTAGTTCGGAAGGAAGAAGATGAAATAATCAGCCAATTTGTTGTTCTTAAAAGAGCTGAGATAATGGCATTTGCCAGACCAATTGAAAGAATAATACCATGAATTGATACAGACCTACAACACCTACCATGAATGTTAAAAAAAGCTTAAATTTAACATTTCCAACTTTCCAGGATCTACAAGACCTGATGTAAGAAATTAAGGAAAGGCCAATCATATGTTTATATGTTGGCAAAACTAAGCTCGCATTTTAAGAGAACAATTACACTGCATGACAACTCGAGCATTAATAGCACTACCTCTGCATAAAAGCACAACAAGAAAGGAGACAAAATGAGCCAAGACCAACTCATAAGAAGATTGATGCTACTATGATGGAGCACCAAGATAGGAGGCCAGTCGCAGTATGTCGCTGAATATTCCACCAGCTGTCACTTGAGCCCCTGCACCAGGCCCTCGGACAATCAGGGGCTGTTCTTTATACCTTGTAGTAGTGAAAGCTATGATGTTATCAGAACCAGAGAGCTGAGCAAATGGGTGATCTTTCTTATATCTTCGCAACTCAACACGCCCTTCTTCACTCACCGCATCAACCACCCCAACGTATCTCAAGACCTATGGATTACATACAACAGAGAGAATGGAAACAGGTTAAGAATTTAAATGAAGAAAAAATTTAAGCGCACAACACTTAAACAAACACAAGGTGGCCAAGAAATATTTCTTGCAAACCAATTATGGAAGGAAGACATGCTTAATCAAACAAATCTACAATTCCTTAGTTCACCATGGTTCATAAGTACTCACTGACCCTGACAAAACACGGAGGGAGGGGAATAACATCTCAATTTCAGGCTACATCACATAAACTGGATCACTTCTGACCTACATGTTCCAGTTTTAGGCCATCTGCCGAACAAAAGCCATTTATCACAGAAATGGTGGTGAAAAGAATACATAGGTCATCCTCTATGAACTAACACACCGTTTGCCAAGAGGGATTGGAGAAAGGATGGGTAAGAGGGGAGGGATTGGGAGTATCCCTCCAATCCTTCCTTGTAATTTCCAATCCTCCCAATTTGGATGGATTGCTCATATCCTTCCATTTTATTTTATTTTTAATTTTCAATGCTTTCAATTGGAAGGATTGACTATCATCCTTCCCCTCCCTTGTTAGCCAAACAAGTGGATGGATAGTAAGATATTCATCCTTACCCAATCCATGCTTCCTACAATCCATCCCTCTTGTCCAACTTAGCCTAAGAGTCTTTCAGAATTTGATAGAGTTTTGTGTTTAATGTGGAAAAACATTGTTACTAAAGAAATAAATTACAAACATGTTTTTGATAGCAAGTGTTGTTGAAAGTGGTTTTGCTATTAGAATGAGGAAATCATAATTTAATCAAAAAATTCTAGTATGAACATAATTTATGAAGTTTTGATATTTGTCTTCTAGCAGATAATAACAGAAAATACCTCCACAAAGAGATGCCTTCTCCAAATTACTTTTCAAATTCTTTGGTGTTATCAAACAGCACATGCACTTGTCCAGCTAATGACCATTTGGCATTACAATTGGTGGAAAGCACCCCCAACAACAACGCCAAATGCCCAATAAGACCATATCTATCATTCACCTATGGAAATGGTTTGCATTTACTGTAGATGCAGCTAAAACTATTTAACATTGTTCGCATGATGTTTATATACATTTATGCACAAGCCTATTATATTCCCTTTTTAAACTTTTTCATAGAATCCTATGAATTTATGATAACAGACATTTTGCTAAGTTGGCAATTAAAGAATTCTGCTACTTAAAACAGTATTTAGAAACAAGCAGGCATTTCAAGAGATACTCACATCCCCTGCATCCTCAGCCTCTTGTCTCTCCCTAGCCATTTCACTGTCAAATTGAGGCAACCGCTGCATATATTCTTCAACAGATGTACTAGCCTGGAGCAAAAATTGAAACCATCATCTCAAAGAAAAACCGGTATCTTACACCCAGTTTATGACTGACATAACATGAATCTTTAAGCCCAGTTTATGATTGACATAACACAAGTCTTACTCTCAGTGGTTGAGGGACAAGACTTTGAACAGGGATATCAGAAAGCTCCAACTTTAAACCAGATTCTCGTGCAAGAATGATAACCTGTAAAATGCAGCAGGTTTATGACTGTGCACTTAAGAAACTGATAAGTACAATTCACATGCAATAAAGTTGTAGTTAGTCAACTATCACATGTCATGTCTTCATACTGACAGCAAGTTGATGCCACCAACATCAGCACTTAAAGAGAATGCCATCCACTGGATCCAATCAAGGTTTAGTGGAAATGAATCACAAGGGACATACATTGACCCAATATTATATTTGAGTAACAACTCAGATTCACAAGATGACTTCCTCAATCATTCACGGGTCAGGAAGTCACCATTATATAGCAATTCCAACGAAAAGAAGTCTAATAGATGCAGATATTTGACAACAAGAGGGCATAAACTTAACAATTTGACAAAGTTACTAAGGACAGAACCTTTCTGGCAACATCTGTTCCAGATAGATCATCCCTTGGATCAGGTTCAGTATATCCTGCCTGCTTTGCCTCTGCCACCACATCACTAAATGCTCGTGTGCCTTTGAAATTGTTGAAAATATAACTCAAAGTTCCACTGTGACAACAAAATTGGGAGAAAACTTGTTTCAAAAGATGCATGGTGAAATTATTTAACATTACTATTTCAGATACTTGGAAAAAAATTGATGGAAATATATAACAACTGGAAAGCCATGATATAAATATTACAGGGCTTCTTGAGTCCTCATATTTCCATCTATTAAGCACAAAACAAAGACTGACCTGAAAATCCCTTCAATGCGGAGTATTTTATCCCCAGTTTCAAGGAGACCTCGTAAAGTGCTAATAATTGGAAGGCCAGCTCCAACAGTTGCTTCATAAAAGTAATGCGTATAGGATTGCCTTTGCAGAGCTCTCAATTTTGAATACTGAATTTACATGGTATAAGCGATCAAGAAAAGCATGTAGTAAACAAAGGCAGAAGCAGAGATGATGATGAGGACAAAAGAAAAAACATGCAACAAAACGTTCAGTGACTAACAAATATTTGATTACCAGCATCCTTCTCTTAAATTAACAAAAAGAAAAACCAACCCAGCAGTTGCATCATTAGTCACCAACATGTAGAGCTACAACTTCAGCAATAAATAAAAAGTGTAGCAAACCTCAAAAACTTTAGCTGGAGAGAGAGAGAAGTAACTCTACCAAAGACAGAATAGCAATGTGATGTGTAATAATGAGGAACTAATTCAAGAAGCAACTTCTCAACAATACTACCCAAGCATAATTCATGTTACCTGATCAAGAGGTCCTGAATTTGCCTTTTTGTTTGGGGTGATTACATGAATTCCTCTCCGCAGCCAATCATGATAACAACTTGCAACACTAGAGTCTGCTGTACAGTCTACCAAGACAGTATTTGGAATAAAATGATTTCCATGCACATGTTGAGTGAATTTCTCCAGGTCAGCCACTTCGCCTTTATCCTTTACAAGTTCTCTCCATTTTGACAAGTCAATTTCTCTGCAGCCAGAGATTCATGAGCCAATAAATATAAAGATTACTTTGCATGACTGTTATCAACACAGTAAGATGTTTGTCCACAAACAGGAAACAAAGTAATCATATGTACTGGTG